TTGGCGGTGGTCGCCGCGCCGGTTCTTGCTGGAAAAGCGGTGTACGATGCCGTGCGCGACGCCTCGGCGAGGAGAGATGGAGGGGGAGAGGAAAAGGCGGCGAGGGAGGACGAAGGGACGAAGCGGGTGGAAAAGTCGAGGGTGGACGAAGCCGAGGAATCGAGGGAGAAGAAGAGTCCAGCTCGTGGACAGGGAGCGATGAAGGAAGCTGTGATGAGTGTCGTCGAAGAAGGAGTGGAAAGGGAGAAGGAAATTAAAATGGATATTGACGGAGAGCGGGTAGAGTCGAAGAAAGAAGTCGTGTCGAAAATGGATATGGAGAAGGAACGGGCGGAGAGTAAAATAGAATCTGTAACGAAAGTTGAACGAGTAGAACCGGAGAAGGAACCTGAATTAAAAGTGGATGTAGACGGAGAAAAACTGGAGAGGAAGAAAGAACCCGTAGAATCGAAAAAGGAATCTGAACTAAAAGTGGATGTAGACGGAGAAAAATTGGAGAAGGAGAAAGAACCCGTAGAATCGAAAAAGGAATCTGAACTAAAAGNGATGTAGACAGAGAACAAATGGAGAGAAAGAAAGAACCTATGTCAAAAGATGATTTAAAACAAGCAGAACCGAAAAAGGAACCTGAACTAAAAATGGATGTAGACAGGGAGGAAGTGGAGAGGAAGAAAGAACCTGTATCAAAAGATGACGTAAAACAAGTAGAACCGAAAAAGGAATCTGAACTAAAAATGGATGTAGACAGGGAGGAAGTGGAGAGGAAGAAAGAACCTGTATCAAAAGATGACGTAAAACAAGTAGAACCGAAAAAGGAATCTGAACTAAAAATGGATGTAGACAGAGAGGAACTGGAGAGGAAGAAAGAACCCGTAGAATCGAAAAAGGAATCTGGACTAAAAATGGATGTAGACAGAGAACAAATGGAGAAAAAGAAAGAACCTGTATTAAAAGATGATTTAAAACAAGTAGAATTGAAAAAAGAACTTGAACTAAAAATGGATGTAGACAGAGAACAAATGGAGAGAAAGAAAGAACCTATGTCAAAAGATGATTTAAAACAAATAGAATTGAAAAAAGAACTTGAACTAAAAATGGATGTAGACAGAGAACAAATGGAGAGAAAGAAAGAACCTATGTCAAAAGATGATTTAAAACAAATAGAATTGAAAAAAGAACTTGAACTAAAAATGGATGTAGACAGAGAACAAATGAAGAGAAAGAAAGAACCTATGTCAAAAGATGATTTAAAACAAGTAGAATTGAAAAAGGAACCTGAATTAAAAATGGATGTAGACAGA